AGGTTAGAGTTAGCCTTTCTGCTTTTGTTTTTGAAAGTAGATCCTGTAGATATTTAGAGTCCTAACTGGAGATCTAGCAATTAAATAATATAATTTAATGATACACAACTGTCTCCTGTTTTCTTTTTTTAATTTATTTGACAGGAAGAGTTATAGATAGTGAGAGAAAGAGACAGAGAGAAAGGTCTTCCTTCTGTTGGTTCACTCCCCAAATGGCCACTACAGCCAGTGCTGTGACTGAAAGAGCTGGACTGGAAGAAGAGCAACTGGGACTAGAACCAGTGCCCATATGGGATGCCGGCACAGCAGGTGGAGGATTAACCAAGTGAGCCATGGCGCCAGCCCCAACTATGTGGTTTTAAAGGTGATCTGCTTTAAATTCTCAAAGTCCATACTAAAAAAAGTATAGAGCTTATCCTAATTGTTAACATTTACAAAATGTATAGTTCATTCAAATAAAAAATAATACTTTTTTGTAAATAGTGCATACAAAGCACAAGAGCTTCTTAGTATATTTAGTGAAGCCAAACATTTTGACATCAACAAAAACGTCTTTTTATCTTAAACTAAATTTTCAAACAGCATGCCATTTAGTTCATACTGAACTAAATTTCCAAAACAATATGATTTTTGTTTAATGATTTGCATAATTTAATCTTGATAGGTACTTCAGGAAACATATAGTTTTACTGTCATAGTTTTGATGAGAAGACATAATAAAAATAATATAGATACCACTGGAGGATTAACAGGACAAATAATAGAGATGTTACAGGAGGGCAAATCCATTGACCCAAAAGGAATTCTTAACAGAAGTTCAATACTTTTACTAAGTTCAATAGGAGAAATGACCAAAAAAGATTTTTGTAAAAACCTAAGCCCACAAAAGTGTATCAGAATTCAATCTTAATAATATTGCAGATTTTCCTCCAATTACAAAAATCAGGAAAGATGAAAGGTGTTTCTGATTTAGAATTATTTTCTAAGAACATTGGATTCATTCTCAGAAATGTGTTCTAGCCATTTGCTTGCTCAGAAAGCTCCAGCTTCAATGTTCATACTTATTTTCTAATGGGGAGCAAAGTCTAGAAGTAATTAAAGTCTGATAAAAATGGATGGTGATCTTCAAGTACAGGCCATTTGGACTTTGTAATGAAGTCATAGTTATGACAGGTCACTACGTCTGAGGTTCATTTCCTATCAGAAGGAAAAGTAAAAGAAGTCTGGTTTATTTCCCCTACCTTCTTAATAGCAACTAATAGATTTTACAAATCAAGCACCTTAAAATGTGACATAAAATCCTTTAAATCTGAAACAATATCTTAACAGTCTGAATTTTTGAAATAAAAATCAGATAATCAATGAAGTTTTTAAGTAATAAACTGTGCTACCCACATTATTTAGGTGAAAACTGGCTCATGAATTTAGGCTGAGTTTGCAATAGAAGATATTTCTTCTTTGATTCATATACAATAAAACATTTTAATATTTAATAAGAATCTCTGTTTCTGTATATTGGGTCCAAAGTGTGTTATGTTTTAAGTAACAACTTGCAGACAATTAACTCATATTCTGGATATCCAAATGGTGCCTTCATATGGGAGCCTTTCATCCATGCACAGCATCGATACTTTAATAAAGCATGAATTTACTTTGCTTGAGGATTAAGTCTCATTCTCCATGGTTAATGCAGGATTGCTCATAGCAGCTTTGCCTCTTCCAGGGCTTACGTTGCTTTCTGTCCAAGACTGAGAGTCAGTGAGAAGGTGGCTCTGGAATTCTCTCAATGGATTTGCAGGAACTGATGGTTTTCAGGATTTTTAGCTGTTGAATTCAGTCCTGCAGGAGTAGATGGTTGTTCAGGATCCTGGTTAACAAGGCAAGTTGGGAAGGAGCAGCCATCAGACAGATGTGAAAAAATGGGTAACAACCAGTACTTCTCATCACCAAAAACTTGTCTCATTATTTTTACTGAGACCTAAGCTGAATCCATTCTTATTGGTTCCACGTCGAGATACTGGACTCCTGAATGCTTCTAATGTAGATTTATTTTTGCTGACTAGCCAACAATGATAGCTAAATAGAGAAGATAAGCTGACAGAAAACTAGTTGCAGCGAAGAATAGAAACATCATATGGAACTTGGCTTGAGTATCTGGTAGACCACTTGTCCAAAATTTGACAACATACTGTAAGTCTGTAGCAGTGATAAAAAGGCAGTACAGCAGATAATAAGCCATGAAAAGGAGGAAGAATTTATAATCTGAAATTCCCACACAATTGTTCACCCATGGGCAATGATGATCCATCTTCAAAATACATTTATCGCAGACGGAACAGTGATGGCAGTGATCTGGTTTTATAAGTTGGCATCTGTCACAGTAGCGGATGGCTCCAGTCATGGTCCTGGTATAAATGGGAAGATCCCTGGCTGCTCGCCTAAGAACCTTCTGATGGGGTTGTCCTCTTGGGTCTCTCTCCAACAATTCTTTCTCTGCATAAGAGAGATGGAATTCTTTGGAAGGATCCATTGGTAATATATAGTTTTGCAGTACGACCTGACAAACATTGCAAAAAGTAGATGATAAGCCAACAAGCACACAACTTGTTCTCCAGTGTTTTCCATGGAAACTAGGCAGAGCTGGATGGTGGAGGCATAGTAGGACCAGCCCCGGAGGAGGCTGATGAACACCGCTGGGATCCAGGACAGCACCCACCACAACACACGCCGGTACCACTGCCTGACGCTGCATGGGCCCGAGGGTGCCATCTTCCAGCGACATCCACCTGCCCAGCTCTGGCCTTGGGGCAGGCTGGCCAAGCCCAGCGCTCCCCAGCAGGACAGGACTGGGGGTGGGGGCTGGTTGTGCGTGGCCACTGTCGCCGCCATTGTGGACGCTCGGCTCCTCAGCCCAGGGGAGGCTGCAGCCACGGGAGGAGGAGGCAAAGGAGGCAGCTCTACATGTAGATTTAAAAATGTATTTTCTGTCGATTTTTTTTTTTTTTTGCTGAACACATGGATGCATAATCCGTTTATAGAAAGCCAAATCCAAGAGAGAATAAAATATTCAGTCTTAAAATGGGGAGAAAATAAAAGATGAAAAATGACAATGATGTATGAATTAAATAAGTCACAGAGAAACTGCTGGCATTTTTTAAATTGTAGGCCCAAGTGGAAAGGATTAAAAAGGAGAAACAAGAAACAGAAACAATGTTGAAGCAGAAAATCATTGAAAATTTTCCAAAACTTTCAAAAGTCAACAATCATCAACTCATAGATCCATTAAAAGCTGCAAACCATTTTAAAGGTAAACCATACTTAGCCGTAGTTTCACTTTCTGAAACTAAAGACAAACAGAAGACAACAAAATATATAATTTCCAAAGGATCTAAAGTGAGAGAATAGCTGACTTATCTGTGTCTGGCTTCACTGTATTAGTTGAGGAATCTGAATTTTGTACTGCTGTCAGTATATGTGTATAATCAGTATTCATTAACACCTATAGACATCATATGTGAAAGTGTATTTATATATATGCAATTTCAAATAAAAATTGAAGTGTATCATAGCTGGCACATTTTTACTCAAGCAAATATTGAAGCAAACATTCTGACTGGAGACAAATAGTCTCAGAAGAACAATGGTGAAGAAATTAATGAATCTTGACTTGAAACTTTTCTATGATTGTTGTGTGTATTCCATATTTTTTGTATTCTATAGTTTCTATCCCTTATAATAAAGAAAAGGTAAGGAACAAGAGATGTTAAAATGAGGTAAAAATGCTGAGTTTAACTGAGCAAGCCTGAGAATCTAAAAGCATTGTCCTGATGTCTTGACTAATCAGTAAAAGTGATAACTAGACAGAAACCTTAGAATTTTCTCCTTATCTCATCTCTGTGTGAGATTACCACAGTAAATTACAGGATTATGCTTTGCCCATAGTAAAAATGGTCTCAAAAATTAAAAAGTGGTTTTTGTTCCAGAGAACAAAATTAGGCAGACTATTCATAAAATCATCTCCAGGGGAGGAGGAGTGGGAGCGGTAGCAGGCCTGGGTGGAGGAAAAGGCTCCTACAGAATAGGGAGGGATTGCATTTCACACACAAGCAATTATGCAAACACACAGCCACCATGCCTAGAAAAAGAGAAAGAGACACTAAAGAGGACAGCAGGGGACCTGCTGGAGGACTCCCTAAAGTTCCAAAGAGGTAGAAGACCTCAAAGTGGAAAAGGCCGCAGCCACCATACAGGGGAGTGGCCTGTCCCCACAGAGGTGGAGAATAGCACCTGCTCCAACACAGGCCCCCCGGTATGCCTCAGGCTCCAGGCTCCAGCCTGAGATGCCTCAGGAGGAAGAGAAGGAGGAAGAAGGCTTCCAAGGAAAAGACTGAGCCCCCCAGTGTCAGAGATCATAAGAGACTGTAGCCACCAATATTTCAAGAGGGGCCCCCTCCACATTCCTGTCACTGACTCGGTGTTACTGGGGACTTTGGCCATAGCCTACAAACTGGGAACCTGCTCTCCTCTTCCACTCATTTTCCTCACAAGTCCAGCCCCTGAAGATTGATCTGGGCTAGGTAGTCCATCTGGCCCTTCCTTGCAGGTCCCCACACACTTAAGATCAGTCAGGGCCATGTTTAAGCTCTGGATGAGATTACACCTCAGTGTGCCTTCTTAATTAGAGCTGTTTCCCAGGGCTTCTCCTGGGGCACCGGCCAGCTCCTTCCACCTCATGATATTCCTCTCCCCTTCACCCAGGCATTCTGGAGCACTGGGTTTCTCTTCCTTTAATATATTGAAGCTATGGGTTTATTCTTCTTGCCTAATGGTTCTGCCAAAAACTTCCAGGACTATATTGAATAGCAATGGTGAAAGTGGGCAGGCATCTTTATCTAGTTGCAGATTTCAGTGCAAATGCTTCCAACTTTCATCCATTGAATATGATACTGGTTGTGTGTTTGTTATCTATTGCCTTGATTGTGCTGAGTAATGCTCCTTACATACCCAATTTGCTTAATATTTATATCATGAAAGGATGTTGTATTCATCAAATGCTTTCTCTGCATCTTTTGAGATAATAATATGGCTTTTATGCTTCAATTTGTTGATATGATGTGTCACATTTACTGATTTGCCTATGTTGCACCATCCCTACATACCAGGGATAACTCCACATGGTCCTGCTGAATCATCTTTCTGATGTGTTGTAGGATTCGATTAGCTAGTATTTTGTTGAGAGTTTTTTTGTCTATGTTCATAAGGGACATTGGTCTGTAGTTCTTTCTATATTTTTTCAGGTTATTGAATTAAGGTGATACTGGCCTCATAGAAGGAGTTTGGGAGGAATTCACCCCTTTCAATTATTTTAAATAATTGGAGAATAATTAGAATTTGTCCTTTTTTAAAGGACTGGTGGGCCAGTGCCACAGCTCACTAGGCTAATCCTCTACCTGCGGCACCAGCACCCTGGGTTCTAGTCTTGCTTGAAGCACTGGTCCTGTCCCAGTTGTTCCTCTTCCAGTCCAGCTCTCTGCTTTGGCCCGGGAGTGCAGTGGAGGATGGCCCAGGTCCTTGGGCCCTGAACCCATGTGAGAGACCAGGAGGAAGCACCTAGCTCCTGGCTTTGGATCAACGCAGTGCACCAGCCACAATGTGCCAGCCATAGGGGCCACTTGGGGGGTGAACCAATGGAAAAAGGAAGACCTTTCTCTCTGTCTCTCTCTCTCACTGTCTAGCTCTGCCTGGCAAAAAAATAAATAAATAATTTTTTAAAAAAAAAATGACTGGTGGAGTTCAGCAGTGAAGCCATCCAGTCCTGGGCTTTTTCTTTGCTGTGAGGATCTTTATTACTGATTCCATTGCTATCTTGATTATTGGTCTGTTTAGGTTTTTGTCTTCATGACTACAATATGGTAGACTGTATGTGTCTTGAAATACATCCATTTCTTCTAGATTTTCCAGTTTATTGGATAAATGGAGTTAATAATTATGAATATGTGGTTTTCAGTTCAATTTCTCAATTAAATAAAAGATCATTTAGCTTGTTGTCCTTCTTTCCTTCTCATCAGTTCAAATATGTGGGTTCCCTGTAGGTTTCACTGTCAACTGTGTCAGTGAGACCACATGTCTCAGCTGCCTTGGTTCAGTCCCATTTTACACCAATCTGGTGTCCTGCACTACTTAAAATTTTCTGAATTTATCATTTTTAACAAAAGTTTACTTAATAATTTCATTAATGGAAGTCAAATCGGATGAGGACAACCTTCACATTGCATTTCTTGATTCTGCCATAGTATATTATTGTGGTATATGAGGCTTTTTTTTCTGTTAATAGGGGTCTCACTTTAACAAATGGTTCAGTCTGCAAGACACTTAGAACAATCCTCCCTCTTTATTGGATCTTTTCTGAATGCAACATATTTACTATCTCCCTTACAAGGACAGCATGCAGAGCACAAGCTCATAAAATGAAATGTTCCTCTAAAGAAGTAGCTAGGCAGAACAAACACCTTCTTGTTTTGAATAGTGATGGTTAGGGAAGGAATTACCTGTTAATCCTGATGTCCCTTTGGTCTACCAGCTCATTGCCTCATGTGACAAGCCTGAGGTTGAGTTGGGCTAGTGGGAAACTTAACATTTTTGGCTATGTACACGTGAATTATGTGTATATGGCTTAATAGCTGCTAAGCTATTGCTTTTCTTCTTTTTTAAACTATCTTTGAACCACTACTTGTCAATATCATCCAACATAATTACTTGTATTTAACCACTGTTGATGTATAGGAGTTTCCCAGGAGACCTTCTGATTCCTGTCTTTTCCCCTTTACAACATTGACTTGGGACACAAAATCCTGACACTGCTACATTAGTGCTCAGTTTCTCCCATGGGTATATGGTTGTCCCTCAAACTTTCCTAGATCATTTTCAGGGTAACCACAGCTTGTCTCAGATAGGAAGTTCCAATGCTCTCCCAGTCACCTAAATAATTGTAGTTCATCTTCTGACTTCCCACAAAACACCTTGCAGCAGGTTTTACAATTACCAAGAACTTCCTTTAGATTTCAAGACAAACAGGAACATAACACAGTCAGACACCTGCACATCCACCTTTTAAACCAACATAAAGATGTTTTGGAAGCTTGCATTAAGTTAGAAGACACCTCCATCTTATATTGTAATGATTCCTTCACACTACACCAAGGAAACAGAGCAGGCTTTGGAAACCTGAATAATTTCACCATAGTCATTATATCCCTCCACAGACCCATACCAAGGGGAAATTTGATCTCACCCTACAGGGAGAGAAACAACTATATACATACTCAGCATCTATTGGGCACCACTAAGGGCACAGCCAACATCACTTTCTGCAGCAGCCAGGAGAAATCAGGGCCACCCACCTCAAAGTGAATGTCCCCAACTCAGAAGGAAATGAAGAGAGAAGGTCTCAACTCCAAGTCAATAGTGAGTTATCTAAAAATCAGTGGCCTCTAATTGCAGTGGAATGTGGAGGGGTGTTGGACAACAGTGACATCATAGAGCCAGCTCTGTCACAATGGTGCACTTTATGTACAGGAGGGCCAGGGCCAGCCTCCTCAACCCACTGAATAGTAAAAATCTCAAGAGGCGGGGGTCTTGAGGCCTCCCTAAGGCACAAGTGAAAAGATCTGGGACAGGTATTCCATGTGACCAGGTATGCACTGCTCTCTGTCTATACAAGGCCCTGCTATACAAGGCCCCATGTTCCTGCAGGTCTCTACTTTCTACCCATCCTCTTCCTCCAATGCACTTACATTTTACAACAACTTTTAAGGCCCTTTTTTGAATTAACATAGTTACTCACCTGAAGGAGAGAATATGGTATAGGGACAAAATCAGATAAATGTATTATTTTGTATTTTTTCTATGTCAAAATCTTATGGCTTTTGTTTCTATGTCAAATTTCTGTAAGTATTTTACATCCATTGTATTTCCAAATGTTTTAATTATTTGAGAGAGAGAGAGAATATGAATTTCTCAATCCAAACTCCCACAACAGTTAGGATTAAGTCAGAACAAAGCCAGGAGCCAAGAACTCCATTCCAGTTTCCCAGGGAGGTGGTAGGAACATAAACATACATGCTATCACCTTCTGCTTCCTAGGGACATTAGAGGGAAGCTGGATCAGAAGGCCACAATCACTGGGACTTACACCAGGCCCTCTGATATGGGATTTCGGTCTCTGATGTGGAGGCTTAAACAGCTACTTCAAAACAACCACTCGAGACATATTTCGAAACCCCTTATAGATCAATGAAATTTTCCAGGACAATGATGATTTGGAAAATATAGAAAAATGAAACAAAACATGATGAAAATTGTTACTTTGTATCATACAAAAAATTGGAAAATATTCCTTTCAGAGTGCAGTGGGGAACTGCTTTGGGAACTCTGCATCCCATATCAGAGTGCGTGGCTTTGAGTCACAGTTCTGCATCTCACTCCAGCTTTCTGCTAGTGCACAACATGGGAAGCAGCAGATGATTCTGGCACTCATGTCCCTGCCAACTCAGAGACCCAGATCAATTCCCTGACTCTTGGCTCTGTCCTGGCCCATCATTGGCAGTGAGCCAGTGAATGCAAGATTCCGCTTCTCAAATGAAAAATGAATATGTGAATAAAATGTCTACGGAAAATGCCCTTTTAAAAAGATTTATTTATTTAGAAGTCAGTTACAGAGAAGGAGAGAGAGGAAGACACAGAGAGAAGGATCTTCCATGTGTTGGTCACTACTCAGGTGGCCACAGCAGCCAGTGCTGTGCAAGGCCAAAACCAGGAGTCAGGAGCTTCTTTCCATTCTTATGTGGGTAGCAGGGACCAAATCACTTAGGCCATATCCTGCTGATTTTCCCAGGCCACTAGCAGGGAGGTGGATCAGAGATGGAACAGCTGGCTCACTAACTGGCACTCATGTGGGATGCTGGCACTGTAGGAAGTGGCCCATGGAAAGTATCCATTTAATATCAAGAGAACACATGGTTATATTGTGATGAAGGTAGTAGGTAATATGACAAATAGAAAGTTATGTAACAGTGAAAATGAGAAAAAACTACATTACTTTTAGATAGTATGCTGATATACTTGAAATTCTAAAAGAACTATATATAAACAAATAGCACAAAAAGATAATTTTGCTGGTTGAATATAAATATTTTTCAAACACTACTCTTCATAAGTAGAAACAATAATGAGAAACTATGATGGAAAGAAAGATATAAATGCTTAGAATAAAACACAGCAGCAGCAGAAAATCTATGTGAGCAAAGGTAAAATATTAATGCCAGGCAAAATAAAAAAAGGTAAATGGAAATGTTTGAAGGGAGAGAGGAACAGAGGAACAGAGCCACTGTGTGTGTGTGTGTGTGTGTGTGTGTGTGGTGCATAGAAGGATGCTGACAGTAAGGAACTGGTTTGTGTGACTGTGTAAGGCTGCAAGGTGAAAATCTGCCACAGCTTCTGCCAGGTGGGAAATCATTGAAAGCAAAGGGTACAGAGCTGGTCTGAAGGAGTTGGCTGGTAATGCTGGAATTGCTTCTGATGATTTTAAAGAAAAATGGAGATGATTAGGACACTGAGGGACATTTAGTGAATTAATCTTTTCTGCTTTTTGCATGCTCAATCACTAATGAGAAGAGGGTGATTGTCATCTGTGGTGTGTATTTTCTATAAGGTGATTTTAAAGTTCATGGGGAAAATAAGCATGAAGAATTTCTAAAAATAAAACACAATGAGAGGTGACAGTCCTTTCTAGATTTAGACAATAATTTGAAGACACAGACATTTAAACAGAAAGTTACTACTGAATGATCAGATAGAAAAGTCAAGGAAGAATATAGACAACTTAACAAATCAAAGTAAATAAATATAAATATATCTTAATGGGAGCAGGTCTAATTTTACCCACAAGAAAATAAACACACATAAAAGAAAACTGAGATTGTCATTTTAGCTAGTGTTTATATTTCTTGTTGGATATTATAATTAATAATAATAATTTACTTGTTGAATGTTATAATTAATTAGTGGCAAATTATGTCTTTGAATATACACTGGATTAAAATTATGTCTTTGCAAGAATTGATGAAGGGAGCAGGGTGGGAGGGGTTTTGGGGAGGATGAGAGAGGGTTGGGGGAGCAGAGGAGTAAGGGGAAGTGTGGTTGTCTTCGTGGAACTGTACCTATGGAATGCGTAAGATCTGCTCCCATTATATTAATAAAACTTAAAACAAACAAAATTTATATTCACATTATAAACATATTGATATATGTTTCATGAAAATAAAAGAAGTACCTTCTTACTATAGAATATTTAGATGATAGAAACAATAGAAGGATGAAAAAGGAGAAAAAGGTAAACTGGGATACCAAATACTACAGCATGACAGATTAGAAATGATACAGGAATCAGAAACTCTTAGATATTGTGGAGGAGAATATAAATTATTGAGGCCCACCATGAAGGCCCTCTCTGACACAACTGTCTCCCCAAGAAATGTAGTTTGTATCTGTCTAACCCAAGTGTACTGCAGTTTCTGAGATCCATATCAAAGTGATTACCTGCAATGTCCTAATTTTATTAGGGCACCATTCAATAAATACAGAACACTCAAGCTGCTGCATTACTCATGTGGCCACGAGGCCTATGCTGGGATTTAAGATGGCAGCTGGGGTGGTGGCATGTGCAGTGGGATGTCAGTCAGTGGCTGGTGTGTGTTTCAGGGGCTGTGGCAGGAAGTTAGATGCTGGCAGAGGCATCTCTCAAAATCCAAAGAGATGAGCCAATGCCTTTGCATAGTGGGTAAAGCCACCGCCTGCAGTGCCTGCATCCCATATGGGTGCTGGCTGGAGTCCTGGTTGCTCCACTTCTGATTCAGCTCCCTGCAAATGGCCTAGGAAAGCAGAAGACATTGGTCTAGATGCTTGGACTCCTGCACCCACATGAGAGACATGGAAAAAGCTCCTGGCTCCCGGCTTCAGATAAGCCCAGCTACAGGCATTGAGTTCATTTGGGGAGCGAAGCAATGGATTGAAGATTCTCTCTCTCTCTCTCTCTCTCTCTCTCTCCCCCTCTCTCTCCCTCAACTCTGCCTTTCAAATAAGTAATCTTAAAAAAAGAAGCCAAAGAGAGATTCTCACAGGGAGAACTCATACAACTCCACATGCTTCATTCAGAGATCTGACCTTCTCGTTTTATGTTGCTTTTATTGGCTCCATTACGACCATGTGGCTCTGCATGGCTGTGACAGGTCCCTTAACACACTGCTACCATTTCTGGTACCTGCAACAGTGATCACAATTTGCCAAGGCTGGAGATATGCTTTCAGCAACATATCTGTTTATTGCCAACAGGACCCCAAATACAGACATCAATATTATGGTCAGGACAAGATGGGCTCTAAATCCCTGAACTTCCTGGATTTGAAAAACCCATTTTTTTGATACACAGGCATAGAGGCCTTAACACTACCTGGTTCCCATGGTGAATCACATGTGAAACTATATGGAACTTGGACAGCTCCTACAACCTCAGTAATGGGATGGCCATGACTGGGATGTGCTCTACCCACTACCTGACTGGTGCCACTGGTGGCAGCTCCATTCATAGGCCACAAGGATCTGATTCTTTTTGCCAATGCAGGGATTGTCAGTGACACTGCCTCTTAAACAGGCTGAATAAGGAGCACAGTGATTGTCCTAGTCTCCTCAAACAGTGGTGGTGGTGGATCCAGTACCCACTCAGCAATCACTATCCAATTTACTATGAGCAGCCCTGCCATCTACAGGGCCCACTCCTGTCCATCCTGACACAATGCACTATGGAGCTAAGTGCCTCTGCCCTCAACAGACCGACAGCCCTGTAAACCAGATGAAGGCTCTGACCTTCCTGCTGCATAGCAGCTGTCCACGTTTAACTGGAGGAGCCCAGACATCCAGCCATGTCTCTTCTTTGGGGACTTGGAACTATTTATACCATATTGCTGTTGCTGCCCATGTTCTGAAACTCAGCACATGCCACTGTCATCCTTTACATAAAATCACATCAGGAGATTCCCTCATCATCAACATTCCACCCTGCTCTCTGCTACCTGATGCTCATCTGACAGCTGTTGTCACAGGCCTGTTGGGCCTGACAGCTGCACCTGGGTGGGCTGGGAGGAGAAAAAACAGGTATTAACCATCCCAGCTGGCTGGACATCCCCTTTCCACCACGAGGCTTTGCTCACCATGGGTGTGGCAAGCTGCTTTTTAGTAAATTATTTATTTTTGACATGAAACACTGTCAAGTGCCAGACTCTCTGAGAGACCCAGCCAGCAACCCTCTCTCTCCTCAGACTCAGAGGCTCAATGGTGAGGAGCAGTCTTGTTGAATATTCAGGGAACATTGGGGCAAAGTCCTGAGGGAACTCTCTCCCAGTTTCCTCACATTTGAGTGTATGGCCCACCCCAGCTGTCTGAAGGCCTCCATCAGCCCCTGCCCCTTGCTGCCCTTCTGTCTCAGAATCCCTGCAGCTCCCTCTCCCATCCCACAACAAGAGCTGGGACAGGTGGCCAGCAGGGAAAGACACCATGGACCACATGGGGTAGACACAGAAACATGCACATTTGTCATGGAATGTGTTCCATGCTGTTTCCTCACAGCTAATGTTAGACCTGTGTTTCCTTCCATACCCACAGTTACTACACTCCCTACTGCCATGATGCCATTTTTCTTCCTGCCAATCTGGGAAGGGGCCAGGCAGGGACCTCTCCCTTGTAGTAAGGAAAAATAGAAAGATAAAATTGGCAAAAGAGGAAATGTATGTTTCAAACAATAAGAATGGTATATAAAATGTAACAGCATGTGATTTTACAAAGTTACCAAAGCACTTTTATAGTATTATATTCAAGATTTATCAGTTGGACACCATAACAAAATTCAGACCAGTAACTTTATTCTTCTATTGTTGGTTCTGAAAAAAAGGCAATAAAGTATAGGTTAAATGGGTGGAATATCTCTGAAAGTGGAGACTGAAGTGATATCATGCACTGCCTTTAAGGGTGAATACTTACATCATTGAACAGCAAGGAAGATATTTTTCACTATATTAACAGCTTAAAAATAAATAAAAATGTTTCAATCATTAGAATATTAAAGTTAATGCATCTTAACCCCATCACACCACATTCCTTTGTCAACCTCCCAAATTCACCACCTCTGTATATGGGAAAATTATTTTTGCTTAAAACTATGCACACTATAGTATAATGATTTTTATTTTCATTATCTATTTTGATTTTTTGCTTTGTTTCAGTTTGTATGTTTTCAAACACATTTATTTTCCATTTATAATCAGATCTTAGCCCTTGACTTTATGTTAATTTCCATTGTAATACCTTCAAGTGTGTTAATATTTGATTTTTATTTTTAACTCATTTTTGTATTTTTTATTTTTAAATACAGCACACAGATTTAATTATGATAATTTTGTTATATTTGTTTCTGTGTGTCAACATGACTTGCATGGTATCTGTTAGCACATCCTGTTTATTACAGTAGTTCAAAATATTTAAACAAAAATCTCTGTTGTGATGTATTCTCTTGAAAAACTAAGGTGAAAATGGAAGTCATTGAGATAATTTCTTTGGAATGTTCATTATAATGGAGGAAGCTTATGCTGCAAAATCATTTTCCTTATTCCTTCCTGAAACACAGTGTGTTGGTCATACAGCAGCTAATGTGTAGCCATGAGCTAAGAATACAGGGAATGTAAGTCACATTATCAAGATCATGTCACTTTTACACTCTCAGATTACCATATTGGCCACAGATCAAGTAATTTGGGGAACTTTATTACATAGGAAAAATACCAATGATTTCGATAAGCCCATTGGATCAATTTTCCATATATGTAGGTTTATTCTTAACTGAAGAGAAACAATATATCCTTTTTATTTAGTTTAGTAAGCACAATTGTCATCAGTCAAGCCCCTCATCTCCTACCCAGGTTGTCCCTTATGGTACTTTAGTCTCCCACAAATTAGGCATGAAGTATCTCTGATATTAAGGAAAAGACTTCCCAGTGTGTGTACCCCTTTAGCTTCAACACAATCCTAGCATTACTTCAGGAATATAACTATGAGAAAGATTTATCAAGTAATATAGATATCTTGTAGACTATAATAATAGTATTTTAAAGTTTCTAAAATGATGTTTGCTGTTCCTTCTATCAGTTCTATTAAAAGAAAATTAAAATTAATCTAAATAAAAATAGCAGTTATGTTTACTTGTTCATGAATTCACTTTTGTAATTTTCTTTTTTGCAATAAACACATGTCTAGAGAAAGTAGTTTTCAAGATGTTTCCTAAAACAAATTTCCTTTAGCTTAAGAGATAGTAGTCAGAAAACTAGAGAAAATAAGGAAAGATAATATAATTTAAATAAATATCTATGGGAGGGCATAATAACACTTGGCTGTTAATTGTGCATGCGCAATTCCAGCTAGTAATACCTGGCTCATTTTGTTCCTTATTATGTATTGTTACTTGCAAAATAGTTGTTATCTTAAGGTGAGTGTTATAGCACAGTAGGTTAAGCTGACACTTAGAATGCACACATCAATCCAGGTTCCTGATAATTTATTGTGAGAAGCAGATACTGGCCCAAGTACATGGGTTGCTGCCATCTACATAGGAGACCTGGATGAAGTTGCTTCTTCTTGGCTTTGGCCTAGCCCAGCTCCAGCTGCAGCTCTTGAGGGCATTTGGAGAATGAAACTGAAAAGCTTCTCTGTCTCTCTCTCTCTCTCCTGATCAGTCTAGTGATGGTTCTCTGGGATATCCAGAGTTGATATTAAAGTCAATGGGATGAGTGAGGTCAAAATCAAAGAGGTGGAGATCAGTTAGTGAACAGATGCTTTACATGAATCAGAGCAATTCCACTTCTAGTTAGAAATCTAGCAATAATCTGGGTTAGGTACAGAGAAGTCATGGACAAGGATATGCATAACAGTGTTTTTATGATATCAAAAAAACCATGGAAATAGCCCCAAATGTCACCATTATTAGAGTGAACAAACTAATCAGCACATATTCATGTAGTAAAGACCGCACAGTGAAAGTGGATCAACAAGACGTATGTCTACTCTGATGAATCCTAAAAAGTATATTATGGAAGCAAGTTGGATTTGGCACCATGTGATTTTTTTTCATAAACAAAATGCAAAATAGGAAAATATTAAATAATATCACTTAAAGAATGTTTATAGTTGGGTGGAGGAAACCTGACAGGCTGCCTCCCTGTGCAGGAGAGAACAACCCACTTAAAGAATGATTATCATAAAATCAAAGAGAGTGACTTCCACTGGGGAAGAATTGTAACAGAGAGGTAGGAAAAGGTTTCCAAAGTATAGTAACATTTAAATTTGTAATTTGGTTAGTGGATTCATCAATGCTTGCAATGCACATATTGTAAATTATATACAAAATATAGAACACTGGTATTGGCTCTCTTTTATTGTGTGTTGTCTCCTGGAATTTTCAGAGTATCAGGGACTACTATTACTTTATTTTATATAAGGGTAAATTTTGATATAGTTACCTGGTCAAAGTCATATGGGGTAAATTATCCATGAATTCTCCATGAACACACAAGATGGCTGCTTTTGATTTATTCCATGACATTCAATGGACCTGGTAGAATTATCTTTCACTGTTTCCTTAAGATACACCAAGGTGGTAAATTATATGGAATACTTGAGGGCAGAATTTGAAGGTTTTCTGTGTTGAGTTGTTCCACATGTATCAAATATGCAGACTCACTATTGTGAACAAAAATATTTGCCACATAATTAATACATTTTCAAAAATTTCTCTACCAGAAGATGATTTCAACATCTTCTTTCACCTTTTCTATTTCCAATTTAGTTTTCTACTTCTCAGAGTACTCTTTACTTGGCTCTATTCATCCTTAAATATTATTTAATAACCTCTCACAATATTGTGTATAGCAACAAATATTAGTTTTAAAGATAACTTTTTTTTATCCAAGGTAGAGTGGCAACATCTTGCTTAGCAGAGGACAACAAGCAAGTAATAAACAATTAAATTATAAAGATAGAAACTTTAGGTATAATTTATTTTTACATGATGAAACTAAGGCCCAGAGAAGTGGTACCATTGACATGAAATACCCAAATAATATGGTCAAGGCCTAATTTCTAACTCTATGACATAGAAATGTTTTGAACAACTTTAAAAAGTAGATTTTATTTTTGACTTGATAATGAATAAGGATACCCCTTAGTTTCTCTTTACTCACACCTTTTCAAATTCCTTTCCTGTTACATTGTGTGGGACCTTCACTTCAGAAACACTTTAAGCCACCAAAGGATATATGTGTTTGATATCTCATCTACAAAATCAGTGACAAAGATAATTTTGAATGATTGTCATCCCGTATATTCACATTAAGAATTTTTTTTGTTCTACTTAATAATATTGGTTGAATTCTGTAATTAATACACAGTTATTCTTAAGTGTTGAAATTTAACTGAAAAGTGATCCCTGTTAAATATAAGTGTGGGAATAAGAGAGGGAAGAGATGTGCAATTCGGGACATGCTCAAGCTGACTTGCCACAAATGGTAGACTTAGAAACATACTAGGGGATTCCAATTCAATCCCAACAAGGTGGCATGTACCAATGCCATCTCACTAGTCCATTTGATCAATTTCTGTTCACAATTGATCTTAATGATAGGACTAAGAGTCAAAGGAATCACATAAAAAAGACTAGTGTCTGAAAATACTAACTGATAGAATAAAAAAGGGAGAGAATGATCCAACATGGGAAGCAGGATACACAGCAGACTCATAGAATGGTAGATGTCCTAAACAGCACCCTGGCCTCAGAATCAGCCCTTAAGGCATGCAGATCTGGCTGAAGAGCCCATGAGAGTATTTCAGGCATGGAAAGCCAAGATGCTCTGGCAAAAAAAAAAAATGATCTAACTGAAAGATCTCTGCGGGTGAGATCCCAGTGGAAAGAACAGGTCATCAAAGAAGGCAGTACCTTTCTCTGAAGGGAGGAGAGAACTGCCACTTTGACTATGACCTTGTTTAAATATGATCAGAGTCAGCAAACTCAAAAGGCTTCCATAGCCTTGGAAACTCATGACTAGAGCCTAGGGAGATTACTGATGCCATAAACAAGAGTGTCAATTGGTAAAGTCAACAACAAGAGTCACTGTGCACTTACTCCTCATGTGCGATCTCTATCCTTGATGTGCTGTACATTGTGATTTAATGTTATAACTTGTAGTCAAATAGTATTTTTCACTTTATGTTTCTATGTGGGTGCAAACTGTTGAAATATTTCCTTAATATATACTAAACTGATCTTCTGTATATAAAGAGAGTTGAAAATGAATCTTGATGTGAATGGAAGGGGAGAGGGAGAGGGAAAGGGGAGGGTTGTGGGTGGGAGGGAAGGTAAGGGGGAGAAGCCATTGTACTCCATAAGCTGTACTTTTGAAATTTATATTCATTAAATAAAAGTTAAAAAAAGAAAATTAGGCAAAAAAAATATTAGAAAAGAGTATACATACATTTTGTGGATTAAGCAGGAAATTATTTGAAAGAAAATATTATGCTTAATTTGTAAGGATCAATTAATACATCCATGAAATAGCAAATTTGCACTGAGTGACACTAAGTCTTGGTGAAAATTTGGGAAGCTGGAATTTCAGAGCTACTTGCTATATCACACTTTTCTTGAGAATAAAACATTGGAGTGGTGCATTAGACTATCTATTCCTCTGTCTGTGGCATTAGCATCCCATATGAGTGCTAGTTCTAGTCCTGGTTGCTCCTCTTCCAGTTCAGCTGTCTTCTGTGGCCTGGGAAAGCAGTGGAGGATAGCCCAGGTGCTTGGGCCCCTGTACCTGCATGGGAGACCACGAGGAAGCACCTGGCTCCTGGCTTTGGATCAGTGCAGCTCTGTCCATTATAGCCATTTGGGGAGTGAACCAATGGAAGGAAGACCTTTCTCTCTGTCTCTCTCTCACTGTTTATAATTCTGTCCAATAAAATAAAAATTGATTACATTACCACTAACAGTGGATTAGGGTACCTTTTCCCCACATACTTGCCAGCATTTGTTTTTTGTTGATTTCTGTATGAGATTCATTCTAACTGGGTTGTGGTGAAATTTATTGTGGTTTTGATTTGCATTTCCCTGATGGCTTGTGATCCTGAGAATTTTTTCATGTGTCTATTGGCCATTTTAATTTCCTCTTTTAAAAATGCCTGTTTAAGTCATTTGCGCATTTCTTAACTGGATTGTTCTGTTGTAGTTGAGTTTATTGAGCTCTTTATAGATTCTGGATGTTAATCCTTTATAATTTTCCTAGTTTGCAAATAATTTCTCCCATTCTGTCAATGGCCTCTTTACTTTGCTTAGTGTTTCCTTTGCAGTGCACAGCTTCTCAACTTGATGTAATCCCATTTGTCAGTTTGGGCTTTGATTGTGTGTGCTTCTAGGGCCTTTTCCAAGAAGTGTTTCCCTATGCCAATGTCTTGCAGAGTTTCTCCAATGTTCCTTAGTAATTTGATAGTCCTCTAGGTTTAGGACATTGATCCATTTTGAAGGATTTTGTGTAGATGTAGGGTAGGGGTCTTATTTTTTACTTCTGCATGTACAGACACAGTAGTCCCAAAACATTTGCTGTAGAGACTGACCTTGCTGCAGGGATTGATTTTAGCTGCTTTGTCAAATTTAAGTTGGTTGGAGGCCCCTGGATTTATTTTAGGTGTTTCTATTCTGTTCCATTGGTCTACTGCTTTACCTCTTTTTTCTTTTTCATTTTTGTCAGTACCAGACTTTTGATTATAACTGCGCTGTAGTATGTCTTGAAAACAAAAGCTTCCTACAAGCCAAGGGCAGCTGAGGGCCCAGGTGGCTCAGAGCGTGGAGCACCCCGGGCAGTGCGCCCATGCCCATGCCCTCACCAGCCGAGGCCCAGCATCCTGCGCCAGGTGTGGCGCCATTCAGAACAGGATTATGTAGTCCTCGGCCACCAGGCTGCTGTTGACTTAGCTGTGTGGGGCAGCGGGTCAGGTTCAGGGCGGCCGCACCCAGCCCAGGCCTCCCCCGTGGGCCTCAGGGATCGGGGGTACCCCCTCGGGCGAGCGGTGGGGCTTGAAGGAGAGGCGCGGGCTCTGGGGAGGGGCGGGGGTCTCTGGGAAGGGTCGGGGGGCTCTGGTGGAGGGGGCCTACGGACTCTGTGGAGAGGGTCAGGGGGCTCTGGGAAGGGTCGGGGGATCTGGGGCAGGGGTCATGTTCCAGCCCCTCGGGCCCACTCTGGGCGAGCCTTGGGGGTGGACATGACCACCCAGCTCAGCACACGGGTTACCTGGAGGTCCCTGCCCCGCTGGCCGCCTGTGCTGGGTGGAACTCTGGGGGTCCAGGAGTGAGAGTGACAGTGATGGACAACTGTCACTCATCCTCCCCGTGAAACTGTGACCTGGGGCCGGGGACTGAGCCTGTCTGGGCGGCTGCGGGTGTGGACGCGGGGGGCACCTGGCCTGTGGCTGCAACATGGGAGGCGGTGACGGGTGTGACCCGCGTGTGATGGCGATGGTGATGGTGGTGGTGGTGGTGGTGGTGGTGACAGACGTGTGATGGGGATCAGGGTGGCAGTATTGGTGCTCACGGTAGTGTTTGTGGTGATGATGACGGTGATGGTAGTGTTGGTGATGGACATGTGTGGTGGTGGCGACGGCTGCCGAGACAGGGGTCCAGGGGAAGGCCCAGGCTTGGTGAGTGGGGCCAGCAGGACAGAGAGCCTGGGTGAGCAGCCACGCCCCGCGCCCGCCCTGCCCCGCCCACCCCGCCCGCCCGCTCACCAGGACAGGTTTCTCCATGACACAGTGGTAGTCAGCGCAGCTGCTGTCGGGGAGGAAGCAGGAGGTGAAGACGATGATGGCGTTGAGGCCCTCGCCGTGGTTGCCTGGGGAGAGGCGCTGAGGGCGGCCGTCTCTGAGCTCGGAGCCACGCAGGCTCCACCCTCTGCCGCGGTGGGGCACGGAGGGGCTGCCGGGCCCGGCAAGGGGGCCGACCTCCGGGGTGACCACGTGGTAATGGGGGCATCCGGCCTCCGGGGTGACCACAGGTATGGGGGGCCACCTCCGGGGTGACCACGAGTACAGGAGGGGTGACCTCCGGGGTGACCATGGGTACGGGGGGGATCCGACATCCGGGGTGACCACGGGTACAGGGGTCAACCTCTGGGGTGACCACGGGTACAGGGGTCCGACCTCTGGGGTGACCACGGGTACAGGGGTCCGACCTCCGGGGTGACCACAGGTATGGGGGGCCACCTCCGGGGTGACCATGGGTACAGGAGGGGTGACCTCCGGGGTGACCATGGGTACCGGGGGATCCGCCCTCCGGGGTGACCACGGGTACAGGGGTCCGACCTCCAGGGTGACCACGGGTATGGTGGGGGTCCCACCTCCGAGGTGACTACGGGTACAGGGGTCAACCTCCGTGGGTGAGCACGGGTCCCCGGGGGCCTCACCTCCGTGCGTGACCACCTTCATGTGCGGCTGGATCATGTGCAGGTCCATGCGGTGCTCCTGCTCCCCGATGATGACCATGAGCCACAGGCGCCCGTTGGCCACACCGCTGTCCTCTGCCACGCCGTCCCCAAACAGGTCCGCGCTGTCCCCAGGCATGTTCTTGGCGGGGGCCACCGGGGTGTCATTTGGAAGCAGCACCCCTGAGATGGACGCGCTGGCCTCTCGCGGCTGCCTTCCTTCTCCCAACCTGGCCGCCTGTGCCCTGACAGGACCTGGCTCAAGTGCCAACTCCTCCAGAAAGCCTTCCGAGATTGCGCCTCCCGGACATTTGACTCCTAACACTTCCTGGGTCTCTTGCCCCTTAACTGACGCGAGCAGCCAGAGGGCCTGGGGGTTCACGGTGTGCTACTCCATATCCCCTACCCCTCGGCAGAGCCACCTTGCTGACAGCAGTGGGGGAACTGGGGTCCACAGCTGTGCCATGGGAGTCAGACCCAGCTCCCTTCCGGTCACTCCCCAGGCCTGCCATGCTAGGGCGGGAGCACCATCCAGGCCCCCAGGCCTGCCGTGCTGGGGCACGAGCACCATCCAGGTCCCCCAGGCCTACTGTGCTGGGGCGGGAGCGCCATCCGGGTCCCCTGGATCTGCCCTGCTGGGGCGCGAGCGCCATCTGGGTCTTCTGGTGCTGGCCGGGAGCACCTGGGCCACCCCTGCAGGCTGAGTCTGGAGCAGAGCTGGGGAGGGACCCAGGATCTGATGGGGGAAGCGGGCGCCCTCCTGGCCTGCCCTACCCTGAAGTCCCGCACACAGCGCTCCCGCCCCGGGCTTTAGGGCTCTCGGGCTCTTGGGCTAGGCTCGGCCGCTGAGCGCCGGGCGCCGTCCTCGCTCTGCTGGGGGCCGCGTCCAGTGGGGACCTCGGGACCCGCGTTTGGTGAGGAGATTGAGACAGGGGCATCCTGGGTCAGACTGGATTCGGATCCAGCTCCCTGCCCATGCGCACCCTGGGGGCAGCGGTGAGGGCTCAAGTGCCGGGGGGCCCTGCACCCGCGTGGGAGACCGTTGTGGCCATGTGGGGAGTGACCCAGCGGATGGGAGCGCGCTTGCTCGCTCGCTCTCTCTCTCTGACTTTGCGTTTCAAATAAATCAGAAAAGCAAATGAAAACCTAGGAAGAGTGCGAGTGCCAGAGCAGATCTGTTTACTGCTCTCCGAAATCCTGGAGCGAAGTCCCTCCTGCTTCCTCCCTGGGCCCCCACCCGCCCTCACCTGCCAGCTCCTCCCTGGGCCCCGCCCCCACCTGCCCGCTCCTCCCTGGCCGTGACCGTGAGATTGCCCCACACACATGGACATCAGACCTGGCCGATCCTGCTCCGCATCTCCCGTCAGAGCCCTCGCTGTGGCCACTGGGGCTGTGAGACCAGCGCCTGCCTCCCTCTCCCCTAGCTCCTGCCTGGCCATTCCACCCCTTGCCATCCCCCAGGCCTGTGACGGGCATCCTTTCCAAGGACCCCACTCGGTTACCCTGGCCGGAGCTTCTGCCCCCCGGGCAGTGTGGACAAGGGGCCAGGTCGTCCTGGGCTCCCTAGGATTGGAGCAGCGTCCCTGCCCCCTGCTCCGTGCCAGCCACACCCACGCCCTGCCCTCAGTGTCATGGCTGCCCACGCCCGTGGGCGGAGCTGTGTCACCTCCCGCCACGTCCCCGCCGTGTCCCCCCGCATCCCCAGCGCCCAGAGAAAGCGCTCAAAAAGCCAGGCAGGCCGCGGGCCGCGGTCCCCTTCGAGGATCTCGGGGAAGACCCGCGCGGTGGCAACAGGTGCAGGGGCGCGTGAACCCTGCACCATTCCGTGGCCCCCGCGGATCCCGCACCCCGCACCTGTGGCCAAGACTGGGACAGCCCAGAGGCCCTTACCTTCCCACTCCAGCTCATTGCCGTTGTCCAGGAACTTGAGCGAGTCCATCTCGTCGGGGCTCTCTATGTCGTCCACGTTCATGTCCAGGTTGTCGGGCATGTCCAGGAAGTCGTCGGACAGCGGGGAGCCCTTGCTTTGGTCCAGCGAGATGCTGATCTCTGGGGCCACCAGGGTCTTGCGTTTCTGGTAGGGTCAGTTGAAGTTCAGTGCACCGGGAGGGGCTGGGGAGAGGCCGACAGGACCTGTGGCCCCTCGCGCTCCCCCCACCCCACTGCCCTGCCTGGCAGAGGAGGCAGAGTGGCAGGGCCGGGGCGGGGCAGCCGTGGCCATCCCCTCATGCCTGCGGGGCAGCTGGTGGGCACTGGCTGCAGTGGTGAAGGCGCCGCGGGTCCCGGCTCTGCATCCAGCCAGCCCCAGCCAGCCCCCGTTCTTGCGCACCCTGGGCCCCTGCACCACCCATGTGACTCGATGGAGCTCCTGGCTCCCGGCTTCAGCCTGGCCCGGCCCTGGCCGTCGCGGGTGTCTGGGGAGTGACCTAGCAGGCGGAGGTCTCTGTCTCTGACTTTGCCTGTCTCCCGTTTAAATAAATACGTAGAAAAATGTAAGAGGTGCATCCTGGCAGAAAATGGTCAGGTCACCGTTCTGTGCATGTGCTCAGCACTGTGGAGCCGGGAGTGGCCTGGTAGGGAGGTTACCATCCTGCCCAGAGGTCACTTGAGTCCCAGACCTTGCCTGGCTGAGACAGGCAGGAGGCAGAGCCCCCCTCTCAGACAGAGCTCAGCGGGAAGCAGGCTGGGCTTGGGGAGCTGGGTGTGTGTGATGCCAGCGTCACTCCTCTCCTTGTAGGGGCCAAGGGAGGGCCCAGCAGTGACCCTGACACTGAGGTCTCGTTCCTGCCCGGGAGGCACTGACCCCTCAGAGTGGCCATGTGGCAGTGAGGACTGATTGGAGCCAGAAGGTCACCCCCAAGCCTCACACCTAAGGGACCCGCCCTGAAAACTAAAACCCAACACATCTGCCCCCCAGGCTTCGGAGTTATGGGTGTGTGTGTTGGGGGGGGTGTTGCTTCCCTCTGCATGGAGCTGCCCGCCCAGGAGCAGTAACTCCGGTTTCGTGGTCCCTGGCTGGAGAGGAATTCTAGCCCAGGATAATCCAACCCGAGTCTTGCGCCCCTGATTCCGATGGGATTTGGGGGCCTGAACTTGATGCTGAATGACTGCGGGCGGATGGTGCCTGCGGGCCTGCCCAGGGCAGGGGCTGCCATGGGGCCCCCTCTTTGAGGCAGCCACACCCCACACCATGAGGCTGGGGCGAGTCCTGGAGGGCAGCAGGGAGGGCTCCCCTGTGGGCATTGCCGTGGCCATCTGGGGACTGAACCAGCAGTGGGGGTTCCCTGTCTTGGCTGCTCAAGTCTAATAAAGTCTTGAAAATGCCTTAAAGATTATTTGGGTGCAAAACGGCCTGCAGCCCACACACTTTCCCAGCATGCACTGTCCTCACCCTGTGGGGGGGCCTGTCTTGGGGGTGCGCGCGGGTGTGGAGGCCCAGGGAGAGGCCACCTGCAAGCCCCCCCCGGGGGGTCGGGCCTTTCTCTCCTGGGCCCTCGGCTGATTAAAGGAGGCCCAGGCATGTTCTAAGTCCACGGATTTAAACATCCTTAAAGTTGTATTCATTCACTTACCTACCTTATCTTTCTGCAAGGCAGAGTGACAGAGGGGTCTTTCACGCACTGGTTCACTCCAGTGCCTGTAGCCAGGGCTGGGCCAGGCCGAGGCCGGGAGCTGGGAGCTCCATCCGGGTTTCCCGTGCAGGTGGCAGGGGCACTGGCACTTGAACTGTCACCGCTGCCTCGCAGGGTGTGGACTGGCAGGGAGCTGACGACAGCAGTGATAGCCCGGCACTAGACCCAAGGGCTCCACTGTGGGACAGGGGAGCAGCCTGTGGGCTGGGGGAGCAGCCTTTGGCCTGAGTGCCAGCCCCGTGTCACCTCTTTTACCCTTACAAGCTCACTTCCTGTGATTCGCAGCTGAGGAACGGGCAGGCGGAGGCAGACAGGCTGAGTAACTGACTCAAGCATGCGCAGCCACGTCCCAGCGGCCCCTCCCCTGCAGGCCCCAGAGCTGGGCAGCCCCCTTCCTGTCAGGGCCTCTGGGATCTGCTGGCCCAGTCCCGGCAGAGCCATGCCTGGCGCGCAAAAACTTACAGGCCGTGTCCGCTGCCCCGCTGCCTAGCGACTCCGTCCCTGTGTCTTCGCGGAGCAGCCTGCGCCCTCGGCTGGGGCCGGGCAGTGCCGGCGGAATGTCCAGCCAGAGGAGGGTGGCGTGGCCAGGCGGGGTCCTGCAGAGGGCGTTCAGACAAAACAAGAACAGAGCGCACTTAGCGTTGGGCCGGAGCGCCTCTCTGCTTGGGGCAGAGCACAGCGAGCCCGTGCACAGGCTGGGAGTTGCAAATGCGCCCAACCTTGGGAGCTTTGGCCCAGACAAAGCCAGGCTCCTCAGGCCCTTGGGAATCTAAGTGGAATCCTCTGCGCTGGGCCTGCAGCCTTGGTTCTTGGAGTTTTGTGTTCTCTTTAGCTCATGCTCAGTGTGAGAGGCAGAGCTCGGATCCACTGGGTCACCCCCAGGTGTCTGGGAAGGCTGAGGGAGCCGAAGCTCAGAGTTCTGCGTGGGCTCCCCCGCGGGTGGCAGGGAGCCAGGGTGGGCATTGACTGGGAGCTGAGTCGGGGGATCCAGGGTGGGTGTCAGCTGGGAGCTGAGTCAGGGGGGACCCAGGGTGGGCGTCAGCTAGGAGCTGAGTCAGGGGACCCAGGGTGGGCGTCGGCCAGGAGATGAGTCAGGGGGATCCAGGACTGGGACCTAGAATGCAGATGTCCTAGCAGGTGTTAGGGCCAGCACGGCGGCAGAGCAGGTTAAGCTGCCACCTGTCACACCACCAGTTCACATCCTGGCTGCTCCATTTCCATTCCTGCCCCCTGCTAATGTACCTGGGAAGGCAATGGAGGACGGCCTAAGTGCTGGGCTCTACCATCCACATGGGAGACCCGAACAGAGCTCCCAGCTCCTGGCTTTGGCCTGGCCCAGCCCTGGCCATTGCCGCCACTTGGGGAATGAACCAGCAGATGGAAGACCTCTTTCTCTCCCTCTCTCTGTGTAGCTGTGCCTTTCAAATAAATACACAAATCTTCAGGAGGAGAAAGAAAAGCAAGTGTCTTAACTGCTAAGCAGAGCGCCCGCTGTCTCTGGGTTCTTGTCTGTCAAGTGCAGGGACAAGTGTGTCAGAGCTGCGTCACCATCAGCCATGGGGTCCATGGCCGAGCTGCCAGATAAACACAGGAGATGGGGTGATGACCGCGGGGAGCCCCGGCCGACACACAGGTGAGAGAAGGTGCAAGGGACCACAGGGGCCGCACATGGCCCCACCTGGAGGCGCACAGGCCTCACCGCGGGGGCCGTGCAGGCTGCCCATGCCTTCCACCTTTTGAGACTGGGGACGGGCTCCCTGCTCCTGTGTCTTCCCCCCTGAAGACCAGCATTCCTCTGGCCAGTCAAGGGGCCGTCTGCAGCCCTAACTGGTTCTCCTCCACACTCCTACGGCCATGAGGTGTGACAAGGAAATGTCCCACGGGGTCTCCTGGGGAGCAGCCCAAGCAGATCAGAGTGGGGGCACACATGGTGGCCCAGCGCTCGAGACACCCGTGTGTGCGGCCACCGCCTGGGATGCCCCTGTCCCCAGTGGGGTGGCCGAGTTCAAGTCTCCACTGCTCAGGTACTGGGGCCGCTGCCCCCTCAGGAAATGGAGCTTGGGGCCTGCAGATGGGAGGCCTCTGCCTCTCAGATGGACCAGGCTAACAGGATATAAACCCCCAGTCACAGGAGGACTTGGAGACAGCGTTGTTCCATTCACGGGAACCCAGAGAGCCTGGAAGGAAGGCTGCGGGGTGAAACCAAGGGCCGGGCCGCACCGGGCACCCCTGCCAGCTCCCAGCGGGGCTCGCGCTTGACCTGCCACCAGCACTCAGGCTCCAGGTGCCCGTGCCACCCCTGCCCATCCCTGGCGCCAGGTTCTGTGCTGGGTCATTTAGATCCCAGCTGCGGGGCTCTGCCGAGTCAGCAACCAGGGCCTCCTCTCCCAGCACTGCTGGCTCAGCCTGAAGGCAGAGGCAGGGAATGCTTTTTTCATCCCCTCTTACTTGTTTCCTTAAGAGATATTTGGGGGGCCAGCACTGCAGCACCAGCATCCCATAGGGCGCCAGTTCCAGTGCAGGCTGCTCCACTTCCCATCCAGCTCCCTGCTGTGGCCTGGGAAAACAGTGGACGATGGCCCAAGTGCTTGGGCCCCTGCACCTGCGTGGGAGACCCATATGGAGCTCCTTGCTCCTGGCTTCAGATCAGCACAGTTCCGGTCATTGCAGTCAACTGGGGAGTAAACCAGAGGATGGAATCACTCTCTCTCTCTGCCTCTCTGTAACTCCGCCTTTCAAATAAATAAAATCTTTTAAAAATTAAATAAAATATAAAATCTGAAAGAAAAGAAAACTAATGCCTCTCGCTTTGTTTTTGTTGCATATGATTGCTTTAGCTATTTGGAGTCTCCTATATTTCCATATGATTTTCAGCATCGTTTTTTCTACATCTGTGAAGAATGTCCTTGGTGTTTTGATTGGAATCACATTGAGATTATAAATTGCTTCTGGTAGTATGGACATTTTGATGATATTTCTTCTTCTAATTCATGAAAATGGAATAATTTTCCATTTTGAAATGTCTTCTTCTATTACTTTAATATTTTGTAATTTTCATCAAAGAGATCTTTGACATCATTGGTTAAATTTATTCCAAGGTATTGAATTACTTTTGTAACTTTTGTGAATGGGATTGTTCTCAAAAGTTCTTTCTCAGCCATGGCATTGTCTGTGTATACAAAAGATGTTGACATTTCTATGTTGATCTTATATCTTGCCACTTTACCAAACTCTTTATTTGACAGGTAGAGTTATAGACAGTGAGAGAGAGAGAGACAGAGAGAAAGATCTTCCTTCCATTGATTCACTCTCCAAATGGCTACTATGGCCAGAGCTGTACCGCTCCAAAGCCAGGAGCCAGGTGCTTCCTCCCGGTCTCCCATGAGGGTGTAGGAGCTCAAGCACTTGGGCCATCCTCCACTGTCCTACAGGGCCACAACAAAGAGCTAGGGTGGAAGAGGAACAACTGAGACTAGAACTGGTATCCATAGTGAATGCCAGCACCACAGGCGGAGGATTAGCCAATGGTACCAGCATCCCAAACTCTTTTTTAAAAAAAAGATTTATCCATTTATTTGAAAGTCAGAGTTACAAAGAGGTAGAGGTAGAGAGGAAGAGAAAGGTCTTTCATCCATTAGTTTATTCCCCAGATGGCTGCATGGCTAGAGCTATGCTGATTTGAAGTCAGGGCCAGGAGCCTCTTCCAAATCTCCCACACTGGTGCCAGGGCCCAAGGACTTGGGCCATCTTCTTCTGCTTTTCCGGGACATAGCAGAGAGCTGGATCAGAAGTGGAGCAGCTAGGACTCAAACCAGTGCCCATATGGGATGGCAGCACTGCAGGCGGAGGCTTTAACCATTCTCCCACAGCACCTCCCTTATCAAATGCTTTTATGAGTTCTAGTAGTCTCTCATTGGAATCTATTGTATCCCCTATATATAAAATCATCCGCATATAGGGATAGTTTCACTTCCTCCTTTCCAACTTGTATACATTTGATTTCATTTTCTTGCCTAATGGCTCTGGCTAAAAATTTCAAGACTATATTAAAGAGCAGTGGTGTGAGTAGGCATCCTTGTCTGGTTCCAAGTCTTACTGAAATGCTTCCAATTATTCTCCATTCAATAAGATGCTGCCTGTGGGTTTGTTACAAATTGTCTTGAATACGTTCAGGAATATTCCTTCTATACCCAATTTGCTTAATGTTTTCATCTTGAATGGATGTTGTATTTTTTTATATATGTTGTATTTATTTGGCTTCAATTTTGTGTATTTCTTCTCTAATAATTTTAATTATTTCTTTTCTCCTGCTAAGTTTGGGTTTGGTTTATTGTTGTCGTTCCAGGTCCTTGTGATGCATTGATAGCTCATTATTTGTTGCCTTTCCAATTTCTTGCTGTAGGCACCAATTGCTCTAAATTTCTATGTTAACACTAATTTTGCTGTATCCCATAAGTTTTGGTATGTTGTATTGTTGTCTTCATTCATTCCCAGACATTTTTGTTGATTTCTGTTTTGATCTATTTTATTTACATTCAAGGTTTCTGTTGATAAATAAGGATTGACCCTCCCATTTTTCTAATGTAAATATTCATATTGTTTACTTTGCATTTGCTTTGTACTTTCACTGGGTGGTTTTCTACTTTCACATTCTTTCATAGTCCTATCCTTTTGGGTTTCTGTTTGTAGCATCTTTTGTGAGGCTGGATGAATGGTGAGAAATTCTTTAAGTTTCTCATGGTTATGGAAGGTCTTTGTTTCACCCACATTAATAAATGAGAGCTTTGCAAGATACAGTATTTTAGGTTGATAGTTTCTTTCTCTTAAAATGTGGACTGTATTTTTAACAGTTCTTGTCTTAACTGTTGAAGAATAGTTCTTTTTTTGTCATTCATACTATTTGCTGAACTCCTTACTTAACATAGAGCTAATCATATGCATACAAAGTTAACAGAAAATAGATCTTAGTAAAAACATAAAGGTGAGAATAGGGGAGGGAGGAGGAAAAGGGGTGGGAGAGTGGGTTAGAGGGCAGTACAGTGGGAAGAATAGCCATGTTTCTGAAGTTGTAATTATGAAATGTATGAAGCTCCTTTTCCTTAAATAAAAGGTTTCTGGAGAGGGGAGAAGAAGACGTGAACTATACCTCACCATTCTCTCTTACCCTTTGAGTTTCTGATGAGAATTCAGCTGTGATACTTATTAGACATCCTCTAAAATTAATCTGGCATTTCTCTCATGCTTTAGACTATTTTCTTTGTTTTACTGTTGAATTTTAACTACAATATGTGTGGGGAAGAATTTTTCTGTTCATGTCTGTTAGTTCTATTTGCTTGCTGTACCTGAATGTCTCTTTCTTTCTCTGAACTGGGTAATTTTTCTGTGAGTATTTCACTAAATAGAACTTCTCATCCATTCTCTCTTTCCACATCTTCAGGAATTATTAATACATGTATGTTTGTCTATTTGATATTATCCCATAAATCTGCAACACTGGTTTTAGTTTTTCTAATTTTTTCTGTTTCTTTTTAATATGATTGTAAAAAATTCAGAGATTTGTTTTCTAACTCAAATATTCATTCCTCTGCCTCATCAT